CGCCGGAGTTTCGCCGGAGCTAAATCGGGGAGGCTAGAACTTCATAAGCTTCATTAAGGTGAGAAGACGGCTTTATGCTTTATAACTTTTGCGTTAGGCATGAGATTACCTAAAGTAATCAAGGATATGTTTTGTGGAATGATTAAAGATAATCAAGTATTTGCTTATGCCATGATTTTGCATAAAACATAGTTGAAAAGCATGTTATGTAGGTTTGGTGATTAAAAATGTGATAATATATTTTGTGTGATGATCCAGGGATCCAAAATGGTATTTTTGGATCAAGGACATCAAGAAGTATATGTGTATAAAATTTCAAGTTAATCGGACTCCGTTTGGGGGGTAAAAAGGGGCGTTGACCGCCAAGTCAACTGCCATACCCGACCGGGTATTGACACATACCCGACCGGGTATTTGCTGAAAAATTGCCCAGGGGGCTACTGTCTCCTATACCCGATCGAGTATAGGTATATACTCGATCGAGTATACATGGAAAATTAGCTTTGGGGGCTACCGCCTCCTGTACTCGACCGAGTATGGGAAGATACTCGATCGAGTATTGGTTTATGCTCAAAACGGGCAGTTTTGAGCGGGTTAATGTGGGCCGTTCAGGTGGGACCCGCCCACATTGGTTCCTAAGGATGGTTATATGACTATAGGGCTAGGTATTGTCCATAGTTGAAGGAACGAAAGGTTAGCCATATCCAGGTTAGGGTTTGGTAAGGATTTAGTTTGGGGTTGAGTATCCCCGGGACATTAGATGATCCTGAAACTCGGTTGGGGTTGAGCATCCCCGGGACTATAAATGATCCTGAAACTCGGTTGGGGTTGAGCATCCCCGGGACATTAAATGATTCTGAAACTCGGTTGGGGTTGAGCATCCCCGGGACCATACATGATCCTGAAACTCGGTTGGGGTTGAGCATCCCCGGGACTACAAATGATCCTGAAACTCGGTTGGGGTTGAGCATCCCCGGAACATTTAATGATCCTGAAACTCGGTTGGGGTTGAGCATCCCCGGGATGCTAAATGCTCCCAAAACTCGGTAGGATATTATGAATGTAGAATGTAGCTGGTGAGCTAGGCATTCGGGGAAAGGGTGAGAAAGGTCAGGTAAGGACTTTATCTCTAAAAGACTCTTTGAATGAAATGACCTACGGGTCGAGTATTTTACATATATATATATACAGTATGTATCATCGGATGAATGAGTCACATATATATATGTATCACCCTATTTTTGGGTCTCGTGTCTGAAACATTAGTTATTTTTCATATAGCCTGCTTGTCACTAGTACTTCTATGGAGTACTGACCCCTCCGGGGGCCCTCACATTTTTCAGGTTGAGGCTAGAGTCCTACTACCTGCACCTTTGCCTAGGGTGACTGATCGAGAAGGAAGACGTGGTTCGTGCTTCCATTCTTATTTCAAATGTATAAACCGCTCATGGATTTTTGAACAATATTTTCATTAAAACAGTTGGGGGCCTGCGTGCCCGTGTTTGCCACGTGTGGCTAAGTATCAAACATTTTATTATTTCTGCATTTGTTTTATTATGATATTGATGTTGATTGTATGTGTTTACTAATCGGTTTGGCAATAGAATCAATCGGACGCCTTGTACAACTCAATAGGGATGAACTGTTGTTGTTCTTATAGGGTTGTACGGCGGTTGTCTACGTGGCTCGGATGCGGTCCGGGGCGTGACACTTGTAGTAAACTGACACATAGTCATAACATGATAGCCCATTTAGGTGTCCTATAAGAGCAATCGCATGAACACACACAAAATCTTCCAACTGAAATTCTCTACAACTGCATCTCCTTTCCTCTAGATTCACCACAAATGCCTTACATGACAAGTCAATTACTTCTGCGCTGAGACCCGTAATTGGTTTTACCTGCATTATCATTTTTCCACATTTTAAATTATTACACATCACAATAAATACTCTGGACATTACCATTCTTCTACTAATAAAACAAAAATTCATAAAGGTTCACTTACTATCATTCCACGACTACTAAAGAGACGGTCTACTAACATTGTTTCGGCAGCCGATGTTAATGTTATGGTTGTTTCATTGGCTAAGGTCCTAATCTTAAAGAACCAATCTTGCATTTTATCTCTCAAATACTCTATAAGAGTAGATATCGGATACTCTCATGCTAATCGATCCATAGCATTCATTGATTCAACATTATTTGAGGTCACGATTGAGTACTTTCGCCGCTTGAATGCAGACCTAGCCCATTTTTTCCCAATCTTTTCCATATAGGTTCTTATTCTAGGATCTTCGTCGTCTAGTAATCCCAACAAGTATTCACACGATTTACTCGTTGACGCCCTCACCGCTGCATTAACCAGGTTAGTTACACATTTTTTCTTGCCACAAAACTTTGTGGTTATATTTCCCAAAATATGCTGCGCACAATACCCATGATTTGCGTATGGAAACACTTGCTTAACAGCGTTAATTATACCCTCATTCCTACCCGAAACAACACATAAATCTTGCATGTCTCCAATAGTTTGTTTCAATTGTGTGAAGAACCACTTCCACGTATCGCGGTTTTCCCTATCGCACACTCCGAAACCAATTGGAAATATTTGTCTATTTCCGTCAAGAGTACATGATGTCAAAAGTGTTCTCCTAAATGTTGCTTTCTTGAAGGAGCCATCAACGATTATTATCGGACGACACCACTGCCACCCATTCCGCCATGCTGCCATTGACATGAAGAAATATTTGAAATTCTGCTCATTGTCTGTCTCCAGTGCTATATGTGATTCTGGATTTTTTTTAGTAGCATATAGCACAACCCCGACAACTTCCTATAAGACTCAAAATCAGATCCAGCTAATGCTCGCAATGCACACTCCTTACCCCTCCATGCTTTTTGGTAATTCATCTTCACTCCTAAACTTCGTTTCAAGTCTGCCATTATACATTTGGGCTGATATGGCTTTCTTGAGGCATCCATATACTGATGTTTTACCAACTTACCAATAAGGGTTGCACTTGCTTGACGACTCCCATTTAATCTATGATCAATTGAGCATGTATGGACGTCATCAAACCTGTTCATTCAATTCACAAATAATAAATAAAATTCATTACACCACAGTTTAACTAATTTCTACAAATCATACAAACTCATCAAATTATTTTCACATTACAGTAATTGAATTTAAAATGCAAATTGCATGGTAAGATTTATCGTACCTTCTTACTTTGAAGCATTCTGTGTCTTTTATCCTAACCCCTCTAGCTGCCCACTTGCATTTAGGACCGACGCACACCACATGTAAAACTCCCTGGTGAGATGTTTTTGTATAGTACAGGAATTTATTCCTCAGCGCGTACAATTGTAGTGTCTCTTTAAAGTCTTCCTTTGATGGGTATATTGCATTCATTTGTAGTCTTGACCCTAATATATCACCTTCTGCATTTCCATATAAAGTGTTATCTGAACACAGTGACAGCTCCATACTACTCCTTTCATTACTCTCACTACCAGGAAATACTTCATCACTGGTAATACCATTCCTAGCCACAATCATCCTCTCATTCTCTCTAGTCGGCACTTCAATCTCGCTATGATCCAGTTCTACACACATCGGAAATGCCTCTATTCTACCCCTAACATTGTTCTTTACTTGCAAATAAAAATGCAAGCTCAAATCACTATCAACAACAGTAGGTGTATATGCCTCATCAATAAGGTATGCAATTTGAAGATTCTGTTTGTCTTTATCAAGTCTAAACAATTCCCACATCTTAGCCACAAGTTCTTCATACGTTGTTGCACAATTAACAACCATTTCATGTGTGGATTTAGTTTGAAATGCCTTCTTTTCATCCCACCCATTCCCTACCAACCATTGTTCTAAAAATCAGCCTAGGCGGTCCGATTAATCAGCCTAGGCGACCTAGTCGGCCATAACTGAATGTTAATCACATCACATTACATTACGATATTGCGTGATTAAAAATTTAGTAACTGAAACTTAGAGAGTAGTCACTGCTACACCATCACGACCACTATACCAAACTAAATCCAAATTTTTGTTCACTACCACAGTTCAATACTGTAATTTGACGTAATTAAAGTACTCTCTTAGACCACAATTGTAAAGTCATAAACCACTCATGTACTACTAGTCATGGTAGTTAACCAATAATCCTTATCATCTTGCATTTCTTAAATTTAATTACTAAAACATCGCAACCATATATTGCCACACAATCACGACCACTGCACCAAGCAAAATCTACCCTTTTGATTCATTATCCAAATTCAATACTGTAATCTGACTTGCTTAAACTAATTACTACACATTCACTACTCAGAGATTTATACCGCACGACATCCTATTCCTTCATTACCGCATATCCTGAATACCCTATCTTGTTCTAAAAACGACATCGTAAACAATAAATAATGATTTAATTTCATTTCTCAATCTGCATAACTAGAATAATATCAACCGTAAACCAAATAACATCACATTCATGCTCAAGTAATTGATAATCAGAGGACCCAACCTGCAAAATCTGTCTATTCTTCACAACCGGAACCTGAAACCATCGCCCCTCGAAGTATGGTTTCTCGCTCTGGCATCAAATGAATTGACCCCCGCTTCCATACGTAATGACTACACCTTCTTACGTTACTTGTTTCTCCGCTGATCATTATACCAGAATTCCTGAAATTTTGCAGTTTCTATACCCGTTTGTTGGGGAATATTATCCCGGCCTATTACTGTTCAAAGGCCCAAGTCATCACCCGGTATGAAGCCCGGTCAGCAAGGCCCATTTAGGCCTACCCGGCCCGTCTTCGGCCTAACCGGCCCGCTAGGATAGGAATTGGGCCCATTAAGGCCCAACCGGCCTGCTGGCCCATAAGAGAAAAACCCCACCCCTCTTCTATAAATAGGAATCATTGCTTCCATGTAAAGGGATTTTTTGGTCCTTCCCTCCTGGAAGTTAGGCTGCTTTCCTCTTCTCTTCTGGGGAAAATGTTACCTCCTCATCCTCTTTAGATTAGATTAGATTATTCATACTCCATTGATGGAGGTTTCTATACATGTATTATGTAATTGAGTGATGGGAGGATAATAATGAGAAAGAGCGGGCTTGGACGTTAGCCTAAAAAGTCCCGTGGTTTTCTCCCTTTCCGGGTTTCCTCGTAAAAATAGCTAGTTTATACACTTTTATATATTTATTCATTTTAATACTGAATTTATGATCCTGAATATCCAAAGTTATGTTGGGCTTTCGGATCTACGGGACAAAAACTCAACATTGGCTCCGTCTGTGGGAAACTTGTTCAAAAAGATTCATGTGTTCTACACAAAATTTACATCAAAGATGAACTGATATCTAGCTGTGGAATGGGAATTTCAGTTCTGCTCCAGGCCAACTAATTCAGTGGTCAACAACGGTGGAAAGCACAACAGCAAAGGAAGACCTCCAGGCGTGATGAAAAAACTTCAGCAGCTTGGCCATAGCTCAAATCTCCACACCCAACAAAACGCTAGGGCCGAAGCAAGAGTATAAGGAGAATGGAGAAAAATGATGAGTGGGGCCCGCGTGCCCACCACTTTCCTTATCCTGACAACACTTTTTGATGATTTGACGGATTCACTCTTATCCAAAGGAGAGACGCCGAATCCGGAACGGGAATTCCCGAACGCCAAAGCTAACAAATCAACGGAGACAGGAGAGGAGTCCGAACGGGAATCTCCTGAACGTTCCTACTCGCCGGAGGATCTCGATCCAAGCCACGCACGCCAACAGAAAGAAATGGCTAGTCAACATGGCAGGGTCCCGAATGGGAGTTTTAGGAACACCGAACACCTCCTGCACATCCTGCAAGAGGGAACCAGGCTTCGTCCAACCTCTCAGATGCAAAACTAGTTCTGTGTCTTCAGATTGTGCTGGGGCAGAAGAAAGGAAAGGATCCTTGGAATGGCCGAACTCAACTCCCAGAATGTCCAAATGAGAGCAGCGAACCAATCATAAAAGCAAGAAAGAAAATGAGAATGGGGCCCACGTGCCCATTAACTTGACATAAAAGGATTACTTATCTGGTGTCAGGGAGCCTGACAGGAGGACAGTTGATGATTTGACTAATTCATTGTTATCCAAAAGAAATAAACGACTGCTTCCCGAACGGGAACGCCCAGAATGCACAAGCTAACAAACGGCTGCACCTAGAGGAATCCCAGGAGGCCACCAGCAGGCACCCTACATTCTGCAGACCCCAGGCCCCGTACGAGAGCCGGCCGGGAACTTCGAAACTCGAACGGTCACCACCGTGTATCTACTGCCGCCATAGTACTGCTGATCCGCATCCTGTCCCTACCTAGAACTCCCGAGCGATTATGGATCCAACAATGGCGGACCGGCAGTTTGACCCTCAGCAAGCAGCAACACTTTTCAGTGGGCCAAAATTCTCTAAAAGAAAAATCCGTCATCATGTCATGGACCGAACGACAGATCACCGTAAGGCGGTGTGTTTTTAACGACGGACAGAGATCATCATCTCACCAATTGCATCCGTTCGGGCAAACAGGACACTCCAGGAGGTCCTCGTTGCATATCCTCCCCGAACGGGGAGAGAGGGACGGGAACGTCCTATTCCAGCCAAGCGTTTCTTCCCCGAACGGCATTCGCAGACCAGATCAACAGGGGTTCGTCAGGTGAAGACTGCTGCCCGAGCTGACCGTATCCCGCAGCTACGCAGTTACACCAGGCCACCCTCACGGTCTCCTTACCCGAGCAGGAACGACTCTGGGAGCGGGGACCCAAATAAGCTTTCACGTCGAAGGGAAAAGCTCCGACCATCCTTCAAAAGGTATCCAGACCATGAAGTGGGAAAAAAAAGGATGCTAGGAACAAGCAATCTAAATGGCTAAGTCCTGCTCAGGGCAGTTCGGACCTTACCGAATGGGAGGTCGGTCCGCTGAAAACTCAATCCAATTAATTTCAAGCCCCTGACTTCCTTCTCGATGGGGAATCTATACTTCTTGTATGGCAGACCTCTGGTGCGGCCGCATATCACCACACCGTGCCCAGCCGCCCGGACTCTGCCATACGGTGAGCAGAACAGCTCAGAACAAATCGTCGGTTCACTAGCCTCGGTCGTTTTATGAAGAACGCCCGAGTTCCTGCCTCAATTAATGGCCGGACGGCCTAGCTCGGGTTTATGGCTCTCGTACGGCGAAGATCTGCCCACACCCGGCTGTCCTGACATTTCCCGAACAGCTTTTATAGATCTCGAACGGGATAAGCGATGGGCTGTTTCCGTTTTGGGTCATGCCCCGGCAATCTGCCATGCCGATTAATTGCTAATCGTCCGCTAAATCTGGAAGAACGGGAGAAGCTCGATTGGCTGAAAGGAGAAGCACGTGTGGTGGGACATCAACTTGAGGAATTGGTATGGACTACCTTGCGGATGATGTCGTGATCTTGGGCAAATAAATTAAAAATGGGCCATTAGTTGGCTGGGCTACTAAGAAAATTGGTATGAATTTGGGTCGGTGGACTTCCCTACTTATGGCGGCCCGTGCACCTTAGTAAATGAGGTTGTTCAATGATTGCTGGAGTGGATCATCTTTGGCCAATTAAAATCTCCGGGCCAATATTTTGGCCCGACAGCTGAACATCAGCCTTATTCAGCTAAGTACCCAATCTCTCACCTGCAAATTAATTTCAGATAACATTTTTAGGAATGTTCGTTGTCATCATTATTTAATAGTGATTAATAATATCCCGAATTAAATAATGTCGAGCGAAGCTTTAGAGATAAATCCTCCATTTTTAAATGGTTGGTTTAGTGGGCCGACCGGCCAACGTATGACCGGGGTAATAAAGCGATCGGAGTACATCCGAAGGGCATCGCTCCAGCGACATGTTTAAATACATTAAGAATCCCGCTCGGCATCGAGTGCTAATACTTTAGAATGTAAATTATAGTATTATTACTATTGATTGCACAAATAGGGATTAAAAAATCCCGAATAAAATAATGCCGAACAAGGCTTTATAAATAAGATGACCATCATTTTAAATTAAATGATTGATTTTAGTAGGGCCTATCGGCCCATCCCGTTTTTGCAACCATGGCCGGTACGGGGCGAAGTACTTAGTTTGATTAACTAAAGTTGTTATTTCTTGGAAACGCCCGGCAAACCACTAAGTGGTTCTGATAGCACCTGAGTAGTGCAAAAAATAAATCTAGGCCAAGGGTTATTATACCACTTGCCCGGTAATCATGAATGAAACAACAGAAATGTTATACTTGTATGTGTATATGCTTGTATATGTTGTTCAGCCGTACGGCCGTATTACTATGCTTATTGTGCAGTGGAATCCGTTCTATATGCTCGAGCTGGGAGATCCATGATGTTGGCATGAAGCGCGGAGACGTTCATGACCGACACAGAAAAGGGGATCGAGATTCAGAAATGAAGATCGAGATTCAGAAAAGGGGATCGAGATTCAGAAATGAAGATCGAGATTCAGAAAAGGGGATCGAGATTCAGAAATGAAGATCGAGATTCAGAAAAGGGGATCGAGATTCAGAAATGAAGATCGAGATTCAGAAAAGGGGATCAAGATTCAGAAATGAAGATCAAGATTCAGAAATAAAGATCGGGATTCAGAAATCAAGATCGAGATTCAGAAAAGGGGATCGAGATTCAGAAATGAAGATCGAGATTCGGAAAAAAGGATCGAGATTCAGAAATGAAGATCGAGTTTCAGAAAAGGGGATCGAGATTCAGAAATGGGGATCGAGATTCAGAAATGAAGATCGAGATTCAGAAAAGGGGATCGAGATTCAGAAATGAAGATCGAGATTCAGAAAAGGGGATCGAGATTCAGAAATGAAGATCGAGATTCAGAAAAGGGGATCGAGATTCAGAAATGAAGATCGAGAATTCTGTGTTGCCGAGTGATGTTCGGCAACACAGAAAATTTCAGCCCATGGTTAACACGCAGTCATTCCGGATCATGAATATGTAGGCCAAGGGTTATTATACCACTTGCCCGGTAATCATGAATGAAACAAAAGAAATGTTATACTTGTATGTGTATATGCTTTGTATATGTTGTTCAGCCGTACGGCCGTATTACTATGCTTATTGTGCAGTGGAATCCGTTCTATATGCTCGAGCTGGGAGATCCATGATGTTGGCATGAAGCGCGGAGACGTTCATGACCGACACAGAAAAGGGGATCGAGATTCAGAAATGAAGATCGAGATTCAGAAAAGGGGATCGAGATTCAGAAATGAAGATCGAGATTCAGAAAAGGGGATCGAGATTCAGAAATGAAGATCGAGATTCAGAAATGAAGATCGAGATTCAGAAATAAAGATCGGGATTCAGAAATGAAGATCGAGATTCAGAAAGGGGGATCGAGATTCAGAAATGAAGATCGAGATTCAGAAAAAAGGATCGAGATTCAGAAATGAAGATCGAGTTTCAGAAAAGGGGATCGAGATTCAGAAATGGGGTTCGAGATTCAGAAATGAAGATTGAGATTCAGAAAAGGGGATCGAGATTCAGAAATGAAGATCGAGATTCAGAAAAGGGGATCGAGATTCAGAAATGAAGATCGAGATTCAGAAAAGGGGATCGAGATTCAGAAATGAAGATCGAGAATTCTGTGTTGCCGAGTGATGTTCGGCAACACAGAAAATTTCAGCCCATGGTTAACACGCAGTCATTCCGGATGACCGAATGACGAACGGGTTAACAACATGGAAGGAAAATCATTCTCAGCTAAGAGAGTTTTGACCCTAGAATTATGAACGGATAAAGGGATCAAAACGACTTGAAGAATCGATGCTCAGAAAATCTCAGCCCATGGTTAACACGATCATTCCGGATGACCGAATGATGAACGGGTTAACAACATGGAAGGAAAATCATTCTCAGCTAAGAAAGTTTTGACCCTAGATTTATGAACGGATAAAGGGATCAAAATGGCTTGAAGAATCGATGCTCAGAAAATCTCAACCCATGGTTAACACGGTCATTCCGGATGACCGAATGACGAACGGGTTAACAGCATGGAAGGAAAGTCATTCTCAGCCAACGGCTTGGAGTTTGACACTCAGATAGTCTCACCTCAGCGGTTAACATGGGAATCGTTCTGGACAACCGAATGAGAAACATATTAGCAGTTTGGAGGGAGCTATTATTTCAGCTAGAGTTTTGACCCTGTAATTACGCATTGTTAAAGGGATCAAAATGGCCTGGAGTTTGATGTCAGTGATTCTCACCTCAGCTTTTTAACACGCAAAATCATTCCAGATGACCGAATGAGGAACGGGTTAACAGTTTGGAGGGAGCTGAGTCGTCAACTTAGCTAAATTCGACCCTGTAATTACGTACGGGTAAAGGGATCAAAACGGCTTGGAGATGGTGTCAAGACTGTAAGATATGGACGAACCGAGCGACGTTCGGATAAGGTACGGATTGTCGTCCGGGGAATCAGAACTATGGTTTTGAAAAATCTCGCCTCAGTCATTAACTTGATTTGGAAGCGAGTCGCCCTTTTAGCTATGAATAAGGAATGACCTGATTCGGTGACCTTGCTTACAGTTTGAAAAGGGTTACCTCAGACCCCTAATATGGATGATACGAGCCAGAGAGAATAGTTCGGAATGCATCAGAATTATGGGTTTGGAAGGGAGATAGTCTCACCTCAGCTTGTTAACACGTGGGATCATTCCGGATGACCGAATGACGAACGGGTTAACAGTTTGGAGGGAGCCCCTGTCCCAACTGAGAGTTTGACCCTGTGGTCACGATCAAAACGGCTTGGAGGAATTCACCTCAGCTAAAAGAATTTTGACCCCGTGAATCACGAACGATAAAGGGATCAAAACGGGCTTGGGAAAGGTGTCAGAACAAATTTGGAAGGGAGATAGTCTCACCTCAGCTTGTTAACACGTGAGATCATTCTGGATGACCGAATGACGAACGAGTTAACAGTTTGGAGGGAGCCCCTATCCGAGCTGAGAGTTTGATCCTGTGGTCACGATCAAAACGGCTTGGAGGAATTCACCTCAGCTAAAAGAATCTTGACCCCGTGAATCACGAACGGTAAAGGGATCAAAACGGGCTTGGGAAAGGTGTCAGAACAAATATGGTAAAAACAAATGATGTTCGGTAACCTGGATTGTCATCCGCAGAATCAGAATTCGCAGTAGATGACCGAAGGACGAATGCTTTGGAGGAAGATATTACAGCCCATATATGTCGACCCTGGCTTTATGATCGAACAGAGGGATGAAAACCAGCTTGGGAAGGGTGTCAGAATTATGAGTGTGGACGAATCCAAGTCGCGTCCGGTAACCCTAAAAACGAAGGAACTAGGAGTTCGGGTTTGAAAAATACAAAAAGAAAAAAAAACAATGAAGTAACAAGATTGGGGAAAGAATCGAGTTTTATTCTTCAAACACTACTCGCCGGAAAGTACAAAAGAAATCAAGAGTAATACAACTTGGGCAAGAGATTATGCTACTGAATGATCCCTGATCGGGGAAGATAGAGACTGAAAACTGCCAACCTGCGCCAGATCATCAGAAACTGCTTTCTGTCTTTAGTATGGGTGGTCTGGATCATCGGAACTATGGTATTGGAGGATGGCCAATCGAGTCGAGTCGAGTCCATGTTTGTCGAGTCGAATCGAGTCGTCCATGTTTGTCGAGTCGAATCGAGTCAAGTCCATGTATGTCCAGGTCAAGTCGAGTCGAGTCAGATCCATTCCTTTAGACTATGGCAATGTAAGGACCATGACAATGACCATGGCATCGTAAGTCCATATCACAGCAAGGGCCGCTTTTATGCAGCACGAACGGGCTCCACAGCACCGTCGTGCCTGATTCTCGGTCTGGCTTGTCCATCCTTGATCTAGGATGACGTCCGCCGCTCTTATGCAGCACGAACGGGCTCCACAGCGCCGTCGTGCCTGATTCTCGGTCAGGCTCGTCCATGCTTGATCTGGGATGACGACCGCCGCTTTTATGCAGCACGAACGGGCTCCACAGCACCGTCGTGCCTGATTCTCGGTCGGGCTTGTCCATCCTTGATCTAGGATGACGACCGCCGCTTTTATGTAGCACGAATGGGCTCCACAGCACCGTCGTGCCTGATTCTCGGACTGGCTCGTCCATCCTTGATCTAGGATGACGACCGCCGCTCTTATGCAGCACGAACGGGCTCCACGGCGCCGTCGTGCCTGATTCTCGGTCGGGCTCGTCCATCCTTGATCTGGGATGACGACCGCCGCTTTTTTATGCAGCACGAACGGGCTCCACAGCACCGTCGTGCCTGATTCTCGGTCTGGCTCGTCCATCCTTGATCTAGGATGACGACCGCCGCTCTTATGCAGCACGAACGGGCTCCACAGCGCCGTTGTGCCTGATTCTCGGTCGGGCTCATCCATCCTTGATCTGGGATGACGACCGCCTCTTTTTTATGCAGCACGAACGGGCTCCACAGCACCGTCGTGCCTGATTCTCGGTCTGGCTCGTCCATCCTTGATCTAGGATGACGACCGCCGCTCTTATGCAGCACGAATGGGCTCCACAACGTCATCGTGCCTGATTCTCGGTCGGGCTCGTCCATCCTTGATCTAGGATGACGACCGCCGCCTTTTTATGCAGCACGAACGGGCTCCACAGCACCGTCGTGCCTGATTCTCGGTCTGGCTCGTCCATCCTTGATCTAGGATGACGACCGTCGCTCTTATGCAGCACGAACGGGCTCCACAGCGTCGTCGTGCCTGATTCTCGGTCGGGCTCGTCCATCCTTGATCTAGGATGACGACCGCCGCTTCTTTATGCAGCACGAACGGGCTCCACAGCACCGTCGTGCCTGATTCTCGGTCTCGCTCGTCCATCCTTGATCTAGGATGACGACCGCCGCTCTTATGCAGCACGAACGGGCTCCACAGCGCCGTCGTGCCTGATTCTCGGTCGGGCTCGTCCATCCTTGATCTGGGATGACGACCGCCGCTTTTTTATACAGCACGAACGGGCTCCACAGCGCCGTCGTGCCTGATTCTCGGTCGGGCTCGTCCATCCTTGATCTGGGATGACGACCACCGCTTTTTTATGCAGCACGAACGGGCTCCACAGCACCGTCGTGCCTGATTCTCGGTCGGGCTCGTCCATCCTTGATCTAGGGTGACGATCGCCACTTTTTTATGCAGCACGAACGGGCTCCACAGCACCGTCGTGCCTGACTCTCGATCGGGCTCTTCCATCCTTGATCTAGGATGACGACCGCCGTTTTTATGCAGCACGAGCGGCTAGCTCTACAGCGCCGTCGTGTCTAGTACGGGATTGCACCTCATTTATGGATTATGCATGCCTTGCGCCCAAGATTATTCAAAGACTGATTCAGGGATGGCACGAAAGGACGTGAGCAGAGTATACTTTCTCGAGTAGATTTGCAGGCTCACTACTCAAGAAACTGGGGGACTTATGTTGGGGAATATTATCCCGGCCTATTACTGTTCAAAGGCCCAAGTCATCACCCGGTATGAAGCCCGGTCAGCAAGGCCCATTTAGGCCTACCCGGCCCGTCTTCGGCCTAACCGGCCCGCTAGGATAGGAATTGGGCCCATTAAGGCCCAACCAGCCTGCTGGCCCATAAGAGAAAAACCCCACCCCTCTTCTATAAATAGGAATCATTGCTTCCATGTAAAGGGATTTTTTGGTCCTTCCCTCCTGGAAGTTAGGCTGCTTTCCTCTTCTCTTCTGGGAAAATGTTACCTCCTCATCCTCTTTAGATTAGATTAGATTATTCATACTCCATTGATGGAGGTTTCTATACATGTATTATGTAATTGAGTGATGGGAGGATAATAATGAGAAAGAGCTGGCTTGGACGTTAGCCTAAAAAGTCCCGTGGTTTTCTCCCTTTCCGGGTTTCCTCGTAAAAATAGCTAGTTTATACACTTTTATATATTTATTCATTTTAATACTGAATTTATGATCCTTAATATCCGAAGTTATGTTGGACTTTCGGATCTACGGGACAAAAACTCAACACCGTTTTAGGGCATCCATGTAATTTCCCTTCATTACTAACAGACTAGCGTACATGTGTATTATGTTTAGTCATATTTATGTAAACCCAATTAGTAGTAGTCATATTTATATAAAAAAACTCATTACAAAATTGAACGGTCGGACAATTAAAACTTAGAATGTATTATTAAAATCGTTAATAATAGATTCTACACTAACATTTTTGGCAATTTATTTTTCAATATACATCAACATACAAATGGTTAATGATTTATATATGTATTAATAAATTCACAGTAATTCAGAATAATTCATTAGAGGTCCAGACTTATTATTTTTATATCATGCTATTACTCATTCAATTAATTGGTAACTAATAAACATAATAACTAATTACTTGACTAAATGGCAGAAAAGTCGTAAGAAAGTATGATAAATTCGTAATAAATTATAATTTTAAAATGAATGGAAATATGGAATTCTAAATATATAGTAAAACACGTGAAATCATTAAATAAGGCGGCATATTTGAACCATAGATAATCCCAAATCCAAAACGTACAGTCCGCAAGGTTCCTACTCCACAGTACGAGTTCCAAACTTCTCCAAATCGAAAGAGACGGACTACGCTTTCAAACGTTATGTCTCTTGCGCCATCTTCACTATCATGCAAGATTGCACAAAACTAGTGGAATTAGCATATTAGGGCCTATCTTAATTATTTTAGGCTTAAATATGTTTTTGGTCATATATTTTAGGCTTCATGTAACTCAAAATATAGATCCTAATCATGAATGAGTAGTCACATTCCAATTAGCCCCATGAGGTGCGAGGTAGTTGCTCTTAGATCCGCACCAGACTTTTAAGGGGTGTCCCTAATTTGGATTCTGAAGGATTTTAATGGAGTTTAGAATTACGTCAGAATTCAGGTGTCTCCGATTTGGATTTCTGTAGAATCCATGAAAATAAGGGTGTCATCAAACATTCCGTAGATTTCTGTTGTTACTTATTTGCACGAATTTTAATGGATTTCGATGGATTTCTATATACAAAAACAATCCACCACAATATTGTAGACTCCTCTCGGATTTCAAAATCCATGATCTTTTAAAATCCATCAAAGTCATAATAGAGGACACCCCCTTAGTATTGTCCCCACAATCCAATACAAACCTTTATCGCGCATTTTGTGCTCACTCATGATGCCCTGAGAAACTTTTCAGGGGGTCACTCATTCTATGACTACTCCTACGTGAACACACTTAATTTGAAATTTTCCACAAACGGAGCGAAAATTGAGATGTAAGACAAAACCTAATACGGGGCATAACTTTTTTTTAGAAAATTGTGCAAAATAGGACTGAATCATACAAAGTTTACATTACATGATTAGGACCTACTTAGTTTTCTTCCATCCGTATTACCTATTTAGTTCTACATTAGGAAACTTATTTCTAACACTCCAAATTTGCCCCCAGCTTTAAGAAGTAAAACGAAACACTTCCGCCTCTAATTTTCTTCCGCAGGAGCACCACAGATCACCTTCTTCTTCCGCAGGAGCACCACACATCACATTTCTTCCGCATGATCACCGTCATCCTTTCCAATGCCGTTCATCGCTGCCAGAGAGGTCGTCGCCCATCATCGCTGGAGCCCTAAACACACACAAACGTCGAAAAATCAATTCCGCAGCAATCACGGCCATGAAGAACTACTCATACCCTTCCTATTCGGATTCCAACGACTCCTCCCCTATCCCCCCTATTTTTGTGAAATCAAGTTCAATATCCTTCGTGGGATGATTCTAATAAGCCCCTTCCTCTCAATTTCAAGATCAAGTTCAATGTCCTCCCAGTTTTATGTTACCTGCTATGCTGTTGAGCTATTGTCAAAACTTATTTCCTGTTTAATGACTACTTATTGTCTATGTATTGTCTGCTATTGAGCTATTATTATAACTTATTATCTGTTTATTGACTACTTACTGTGTACGTATTGTCTAGTGTTTTCAAGTTTTGTTTTGGGTTTGGTTTTTTCAAAAGTTTTGCAGAATACGTGGTGGCCTTGTGAAATATATGAAATAGAAGTTCGAAATTAGCAAAAAAATCAAGACCAAGATTAGAAAAGAAGAAGAAGATGACGAAGAAGAGGTGGAAGAAGAACAAACCTTCGGTGGTGGCGTTTAAAGGAGTCAATTGCAGCACCTATCTGGTGCGTCGGCGACAATTTCGACATCGGTAATGGTGAAACCCGCAACGGTGATGTTGGCCTAGATCGACGATGTTTGTTTGATGAATCGTGAGAGGAGAAGCTGTCGTCGATGAAGCTTGTTTGATGCGCATGGGTATTGAAAAGAAAGGGCAATTTGGTCAAATTAGATGTACTTAGGTCTTACGTAAGTATGTATAGTAGTCTTAATTGTTGAAATTTCCCAACTTTTTTTTGAACAAATGGGACGGATATAAATCATTTGGGCATCGTGTGCCACTTGAGGAAAGTAAGTAAATGCAAGGAAAATGTCAAAGAGTAAAAGCTAAAAGTAGCTATTTATTTATGAAGATAGTGGTTTTTGTAATCTTTTTTGTTCAAAACTGCATTATAGTGGGAAATATAAAATGCTTAAGTTTCTTATATTTCGAAGTTGTGTGGTACATGAAGCGCTCCCTCCATTTTTGGAAAACCATTATGATGTTGTAATGGTACAAACAATAGCCCTAGTCCATTTGCACTTTATTTGGCAAAATTTCAATGCTCTCTTTTGATTTAATGTGAACGATAAGTTGTTGTCATTATACTGTTTCGTTTAATTTACAACCGTGTTGTCTATTTGGTGCGAGAAAGAGCAAAATGATAAAACTTTAATTCAATTTCTATATTATCTTTACTCATGTACTGTTCAATTGTTACAATCCGATTCAGAACGGAGGGGATACCATTTTTCTTAATATTTGTAAAATAATCTCAATTTTTTATTCGAGGCAGAAGAATTTTGTTCATAAAAAATTCAATTTGTTAAAAATTCTAAAAAAGAACCAACATAATTAAAATTAACCCGGTCACATAATGATTAAGTTTTGTGAAAGTAACAAATATGGATTAATGGTACGAATTCTTCAATAGATATCATCTTTGTAACATGTTTGTAAGTAGAAAACTAGAAATTATTAGTACCCGTTTAGCCTAAATTAATTTATTTGAATGATTTAAAAATTAAAACAGATAATTACAGCAGTTGTGAGATTACCGTACCTAGTGAGAGGTCTCGAGTTCGAAATCTACTAAACACATAAGAGTTTGAAAAGTGAAGTTTGAAACCTGATTACTCCAAACTCCTCCGACCCCTTCGAAGCTCCAAATACAGCCGTATAATTCACAATTCAGATTTGACTCAATACAACGGCAAAGAAAAGGGACCCACGAAGCAAACGCGGATTCAAACGGTACGTTAGACACTGTTTTCCCGCTACACCCGAAATGTTACGCCCATTTATTTCATTTCATTTTAAAAAATCAATTCACCAAAAAATTCCAACGATTTCGGATTCCCGCCGCTCCTACGCCCTTTAAAAATCTAGCACCCAAAATTTTCACAAGGAGTCGTGTGGTCGTCGCCCCGCATTTATCTCTACCACCTGCGCCTTCTACGCTTCATCTCAAAACCCTACCTCGACCCCCCTCCCAGCTTCGATTCCAACTATGGTGTCCCAGAGGAAGGCTTCTTCGGAGGCTGCTTCAGCCAATTCGGATTCAAGGAGGAAGTCGTCAAGGGTGATTAAAGTTCTCGATCCAGCTGAGAAAATGACAGCAGCTGCTGATGCTGGAATTGAACCTCCTTGTGTAGTTGCAGCGCCGGCCAAAAGGAAGGCTTCAGGGGATGTTACTCCGGCTGAACAGGATTCTAGCCGGAAGTCTAAGAGAGGAAGGCGGATGGAGGTGCTGGATTTGACTGACGACGGCGTTGAGTTCTATGAGCTTGAGGATGAGGACGAGGATGTATCCCATGACGTGAATGTGGTAAATCTGGCCCGACCTCCTGCAAGGAGGGCTCCGGCTAAGGCATCTGATGACGATGATGAAGGCGAGTTTATTGGGGATCCGGTTCCTGTAGATGAAGCCAAGCAGAAGTGGTCTCACCGCTATCAAAAGGTTTGTAAGCTAGGAAGAATAGAGTACAATGTATATCTGCGAATGTCTTGAGCATACTGAGTTTGCTTTTCTTTATAAAGGAACAGTCTTTTTAGGAAATGAATTACTCAGTGATTTTGCAGGTCTTCATTATCTTGATGCCCTAAATATTGACAACCTGCGAATCTTTTAATTAGGCCTTTTTAAAAATTGTTTAGATTTTCCTTTTTAGCTTATGTCCTGCACTGTGAACACATTTACTGACCTAATTCCTTGATTACAGACCACTGGGAGAGCATATGCAGGAAATAAGAGCATAACTATGTAAGTTTTTTTGTTGACTAGTACTGGATTTATGTTTTCTAGCATATGATCTTTTTAACTAATTCAAACCCATGTATGTTTTCTATGCTTTTAATTACTCCGTAATTCATTGTTTCAAAAGGCAATTTTTAGGCTTTCCAGGGGCCCAAGAAAAGCTGCCTTTAGCTCTAGGTTTACACCTCATCTGTTAAAGGCCGATGAGCCTCAATTACAAGCCCTAAGGCTTAAGGCTCAATACTTTGATAGGCTTTTAGGTTCTCATTTGATCTAATTGCTGTAGCATTTAAACCCTAACCTGTCAGAGGCTCTTTACTGACCTAATGGACTTAATCAGAACCATGACTTAATTGTTACGTAATCGTTTGATCATATTTATCAATGCCTTAATTCAGAAACATGACTTATCAATTAAAAAAACGACTTAATCACTAAGCTGTTATACAATATCCCTCCACATTAAGACATGCATATATCCAAGATTTTCAAATCTTTTAAGGAATTGATTAATGTTAATAAATGACATTACTCGTTGACAATATAACCCAATAATAATATTTAGTCGATTGTTTTACTCAATTTAGATTGCTTACTCATCACATAAAACAAATAGTCTAATAAACAAATATTACTTCATCCATACAAACATCCTAATCCAAACATTAGTCAATAGAAAAAGGTAAACAATCCCTTTTGGCCTTACTAATTTTCACTCAGACTCTAAAGTCTAAACCAATATGAAAGACACTAAATGTGCATCCCGTTAAGACACTTCAGCATAATCCATTTAATAAATAGATTCAAAGACTACTTGCAGATTAATTGCTTATCTCTCTTCACCTATTATCCTTTTCCTGTCATCTTCGTAAACTCACAAGGCAGCCACTCGTCCCTTCTTTTCAACTCAGGCATCATATTCTTACGAATGAGCCCCAGACGGCTAGTGTTATATTAATCACTGTCTTGATCAAAGGCCCAAAAAACTAAAGAATTCTGTACATGTAATTCCATAATAACTTGAATGAGAAATGGCTGCCCACTAAACTTGGAAGACTTGATTATTACACTAAAATCCTATACAATTCTTGTTATCAATATTCAGTTGTCATGGTATCGTCAAAGCGTTGACCAAGTGTTGCTTACTTGTCTATGTGATAGAGAACACTCTCCCTTACTTGTCACCTCGCCTAAAGAGCGCAATACACAGAATGTCATCGCTGAGCCTCTAACTAAGCAGTCACAGGGTGTCCAAGATATATATTCTTTGTCAAATATATTCTTTTTCCATCATTTGAAATGGAGCCAAAGATTCACTATTTTTTGGCCCAAGAATATGATGGAGTAAAGCAAAATGACTCACCAAAATGTCTGCGTATCTTTGTTATGAAGTAGTAGTCGGTCCATTTAATTTTCGACGTGATTTTCACTGTGGGTTATCCGGAAAGAGTTCCTTTGTGCTTTAGTATACGGGTAAGATTGCGTACATCCGACCTCCCTTACCCCACCGTAGGTGGGAGCCTTTGTGGCACTAGAGTAATCATCATCATCATCACCCCAGTGACACAAAGGCTCCCACCTACGATGGGGTAAGGGGGTTCAGATGTACGCAGTCGTACCCTTGTACTAAATCACAGATAAACTGCTTCTGAATGACCCATAGTTAAATTCGTGTCAAAATTGCATGGACTGATTGTTGTTTCATAACAAAGCGGCACTAGAGTAATAATGATATTTTTATATAAGATCAGCTTGATGGTTTTAACTGAAAATGTAGTTTATGATCCATTATTTTTATTCATTAGTATCAACTATTAATCCCAATCGCTAGATCATAAAACAATTTAAAGTTTTTGAGGTCAACTATTAACCCTTGAGGCTTAAGTCTTAAAATATACCAACAAATAATACTTGAAATTGTTAAACAAGTAATACAACTTAAAAGTTCAGCTAGTAATAAAAATTAATATAGTAAAACTAATAATAAATCCTTGTGGCCATCACCCCTTCTATCACCACTTTCAAAATCCTTAAATTCTCGCCTTTGTTTTTCGTTCATGATCATCATTTACCTTCATTTACCTCCATCTGCTTTTGTGTCAACTTCTTTATGGAGAAGATATTAGCAACCATAAAATTCTTTCCACTTCCTTTTTTGGGATTTTCTGAAAATTTCTTTCCATTCGCTTTTTTTGTAAAGTTTAGTGTAGCTAACATTTATTTATCTTTTTCTTACTCGGCTATAATCATACATTTTCACTTTAATCCTATTTTTAAACTTGAATCCAAGTCAAACCGGGAAGAATTATATGCCACGAAGGAAGTATTTTTAATGAAATATGACGTGTTAGGGTTTAGTGTCTAGTCCGATCCAAGTTGACTCCACCTTAAAAGATACCCCCTCTGTCCCATTTTAATTGTCTTACTTTTCTTTTTGTGTTGTCCCATAATAAATGTCATGTTTCCTTTTTTGGAAAGAAATATGTCGTTCATATCATTTCACTTTATTTTACTCAAATTCCAGTCACAACTTTTACTTTTCAACTACTTTATTCATAGTTGTGCCAAACAAAAACAAGATATCCGATATGAGACGAAGGTAGTACAAACAAAGAAAAATCGCCTCAGAAAAATGCGCCAAGGCATATGTCTTGAGTTGTAAACCTCCTTCAAAAAACTCTAAGCCTCGAAACTTGCTCTATATGCCTCATCTTGAGGTGCGCCTAAAGACCCACCCCATAAGTGCCTTTTTAAATCATGGTCATATTATAAATAAATTGACATTGAACTCTTTATTTGAGTTAATATGTTCAATTAGTAATTCATGTACTATATCCCAAGTTATATATATATATACTCCTTCCATTCTTTTTACTTGTCATTTGGTAAGTTTTTTATCATTTGTCCAATTTCTATGTTTGGAAAATTGGCTCTATTTTACTTTTTCACAATCTTTCACCCTTTCTCCATTTTTCCCCAATTCCTCATTTTATTCACCTCTTTTCTACCTTTTCTTCTCCTCTTTCATACTTTTCTTCCAAAATTATAATCTCCTATTACTTATTTAATATCCATGAAAACATGTAGTTGCAAATAAAAAGAACGACATAGCACAATACATTACTCCCGCTGTTCCATAGAGAGGTTCCTGATTTAGTTTACGATGATTGACTGACGATAAAACAACTTGATCCCTGTTCATACTGATTATTTTTAGTAAATAAAATTTATATACTTAGAAACCACATTAAAAATTTTAC